AATTAACTGATTACTAATGTTTAAGAGAGATTTTGTTCCACAAGGTCTTCAGCAGAATATGTTGGTTGTAGGAAGAGTTTCATTAATATTTGATTTTCAAATCCATATATAAATTTGTGAGCATTTGGGTTGTATTGCCAATATTATGTAAATACAATTATAGTATTAGCAATATATATGTATAATTGAGGAATCCAAAACAGCTGAAGGACATGTGGTATAATCAATCATTTAAATTAAGAAATGAGAGGGCATCCCTACTGGGTCCTCCTGTTTTCTTCTTCTCTTTTCATTCTAATAATGTTATGTAAAGTAAAGAACAAAATTAATAAATAAAATAGAGCACAGTATCACCAAGAACAAGGTAAAGCCAGTATTATATCAAAAGTTGACAAAGAGCCTCATCCTTCCTTTCTGGAAGGGATTTTGATGCTCTTAGCCCTAATTAAATATGGAATGTTTAAATACTAGCTTCCCTAAGTAGTCCCTCCAAAGTAGGTTCCATTTCCAGATGTAATTGCTTGTCAGTCCTAACTGGATGCCTGAACAGTCTCGGATAGTTCTGTAAAATACAAAAACAGCTGGATGGTACAGATCACTGAAACTAAATTCTTTTTTTCCCTTTTGCCATGGCTCTCTTTCACTGCCTTTCTTTGAACTCTATGCCACTGAGGAATCAACAGCTGAACAACATGAGTTATCATACAACACTGAGTGCAACAACAATTATGCACAGCAAGACATTTTGTTCAGTAATCCTGGACTGTAGGAAGAATTGAGATTTCTTTTGTTGGGGATAATCCCTTTTTCAAACACAATATTAGAGTAAACAAGACAAGCTAAATTAAAAGGTCATTTGATCACAGTAATGCATTATGCATGTAAAATGCAACAATCCATTTTTCCTTAAAAATTTACAGAAGCTTTTTCTACTGAATACTGCTTAATTCCTCAGTCAAATTCCAAACAAAGTACTGTATACATGTATTTGAGGCAACATGAAACTGAAACGTTACAATAAAATGAACGAGAGCACTACAGATGGATGGAACTGTAAATGGGAGGTGCACTGAATGTTCACTTCAGGGGGCTGTAAATTAAATCTGTTTTCCTGTCCCATGTTCAGCAAATTCTGTGCTCAAACTCAACATCTAACAGCCTACATTAGGTGACAGGACTATCACACCACTTGACATAGCCTCTAGAAATAACCATATATTCTGCCAAAACACAAAAAAAGTAGGCAAATATCTTTTAATGTCAAAAAGGAGAAAATAATGTTGATTTCCTTTCACCAACTGGAAATCTCTTCCGAGTTAGTTATAGGCAAAGTTTACAGTTGTGGCTACTTGAAGTTAGACCTCTGAAAGAAAGTCAGGCCACTTTTATTAAGGTGCCTCAGTTCCAATATTTTGGTCTAACTGTTGAGGTAGAATTCAGGATTCTAACAGCAAGAGATTTAGTCATCCTTACAGCTAAAGATGACTGTACAGGCAGTCCCCGGGGTTACGTACAAGATAGGGACTGTAGGTTTGTTCTTAAGTTGAATCTGTATGTAAGTCGGAACTGGCATCAGCCGCTGCTGAAACTGATCAGTTTCAACAGCGGCTGAATATGGACACCAGTTCTGACTTACATACGGATTCAACTTAAGAAACCCAGGCGTCCCCAAGTCAGCTGCTGCTGAAACTGATCAGCGGCTGATTCTAGGAAGCCCGGGGCAGAGCAGGGTATTTGGATTGAGCTCAGAAGCAACAAAGGAAGTCTTTAAAGGAGGGGCAC